GTTCTAGGGCGCATCTCTAAGTTACATCCCGGTGCAGACGGTGTGGCTAGAGTGGCCACCGTTAAAACGCAGAATGGGGAGCTACGACGTCCTCTCGTCAAATTGTGTCCGCTTCCAATAAAATAAAGGCTCTATACCCTTTATGTTTTGTATGTACCATGTGGTTGCAAGATTTTCGGGATACTGAATTATCGATATTTATTTTTTCATTTTTTTTTTATTTTTTTTTCTTCCAACCAGGGTATTTCTTAAAATGCTATCAATTTATCGCATTTTCGGGGGGGAGTATGTTAAGCCTTAGATTAAAATAAGTTATTTTTTCATGCATTTGTTTTTTTTCTATATATTTTATTCCCGGTGATGCAATACCGTTTTCATAATTTGAACTATCATATTTTGTTTCTCGCGACCTTGCCTTAAACAGCTCGAAATGAGTGAAAACCTACATAATTTTTTGTACTCGGACCGAGTGATAAAAATCGTAAACACACCTGAAAGAAGATCGAACGAGAGAACAGGATTAGTATCGTTTTGGCTCCGCAGGCATATATTCTAGTTTTGGATGCCTCAATAGATTTCGCTTCGCCGGTTTCACGGGAAATTTATGTGAAATGGTTTTCATTGTTTTGGTTCCTATCTGAACTACTTTGTGAGTGTTGCCATAGTTGGAATATCGCCGACACGCAATTACCTGGATTATCCTGGAGGGGGCCCCCAGCACACTTCCGCAACCAGAGAGAACTCTGAAGCATCCAGAAAGAGCCTCAAAATTCAGGACTTCGAGGTAAGCTGTTTAAGGATTCGATATCTTATTCATACTCATCTCAAGCTTACGGATTGCATCTCCGCCCTTTCGCCCCAATCACTAATTACTAATGCGCCCCTATGGTGAAAATCTATTTATCTCTCATTTCTGAGATTTTCGAATTGAATTACGCACAATCCCCTTCTCATGTCTAAAGCCACATCTGAAGTGTGTGATGAAAATTTCAGCCTGATTCTGTTCTTTTTTCAGATGATTAATCAATTTATAAACCGATGGATGGAGGCAATCCAATGAATGTTGGAACAAATTGTCCAAACTTTTGAAGATATATTTATTTTGTTCTGGTCAAATTATTTCGTATGCGTTCAAATAAATTCCAATTTTATTAGTTTTTTCCCACGTAATTTTTCCAAGACTGTTGTCAAATTGAAACATGAATGACGCATCTATGGTACTATTCGAGAATTTCTTTTTCACAGCAACGACGCAACGACTAACTCACTTGATGAGTTGGATAATCAATCACTGATAGATAGGTATAATGGCTAATGAGATATGTTTGAGATGTGAACACTTTTAAACATTTGAAATACCAACGGAAATGAGCGCTATTTCAGAACGCGCTATTTTGTTACGCGCTGTTTTCTTACAGCACTGTTATTTAACGCACTATTTCGTTGCAGAGCCCAAAATAACACTTCATTGAAAGTTTCGTAGATGTTTAGGGGAAACAATATTTTTATTACATACTGAATAAATGGTGTATGTGATATATGAACTACCAGATTTAGAGCCCATAAATTTCAGATTTTTCAAGGTACGTTACCGACATGGAATAAAATGAATGAATGAAAGCAATATGCTATTATTTCTTATTCTCACTTTTTTAGAATGTTAATATAATCATTGTTTGACTTATTGATTCCGTCAAATGCTCAAAAATATATATAATTATATATAATAATATAAGGACTGTCTTGTCGGTAACATGTTATTTTTGTCGGTAACGGACAATTTGATGTCTTTTCATTACAGATAAGAGTGTTACCGACAAGACATTTATTTATGAATCAGTTTATCAATGTTATTTCATGTTGAATTGAGGTTTAATGAATTATCAACGTGGATATCATTGATATAGAGGGTGTATCTAAATAACGCCGAAAAAGTTCAAGAGGTGTTTCCTTGTGACATTCTAGCAAATAAAGTTCATATAAACATGTGTCCTAACTTGCTCCGTTTTTCAGATACACGATGGATGTTGAAGTTGGAAGAATCTATTGTTTTTATTTATAACCCCCCTGTATAAGCTTTCATGGTGCCAAAAGTCAGTATGGATGGAGACTGAGAAAGCCCTAAAATTTCAAAATGATTCTAATTGGGGTTATTGAGTAATCTCGATGGAAGTCTTGAAGACACACACAATAAAATTCGAAGTCAAATCGAATTTTTATTGTTTCCTCAAACATTCAGCTAGATACAAAAATCACACAGAGGATAAAAAAGTTGTTACTTCAATAGTTCAATCTAATTAAAATGTGAAACTCAGAAAAACCGGTGGTGTACAATGACATTCATCATGAATATCGATAAATTTACACACTGTGACGCCACCGGAAATATTATTTCGAACCTAATTGCACTAGAAGAAGCTTCATTTTACTATTAACACAACCACAAAATTTTATAGAAATTGATGAAAAGACAATTGAGAAATGAATAGGAAAAAGATTTTGCATGGGAATATGAATACCCTGTATCTCTTAAACGAAGCAAGTTAGGACACATGTTTATAGGAACTTTATTTCATAAAATATGAGAATGAATCACTCCTTGAATTTTTTCGGTATTATTCAAGTATAATACCATAAACCACGATAGTAAATTGATCTCATTGGAGCAAGTCACCGTAGACGTAAAAATTTGTTTTCCGAGAAACGATTCCATAGAAAAAATCGTAGGTGGAAATTGATGGGACGTGTACGATAATTTCACTATGAGTACATACTGATGAAGTAATTTTGCCAGTGGTAAGGCTCTTTTGACACTTCTTGCGGATGTTATATACACTAACAGTTCGAGTTACCGACAAGATGGTATAGTGCGAACGCGCAAGTTTGCCTTCGTATGTTTACTAGTAGGTGATATTCATGTGTTCAGAAACTATAATCTATAAGTGGGCATTATTTCCAATCAAATGGTATTCAACATTTGTAACAAATATTTATTTCATACTCGAAACCTTTACTGAACATTCAATTTCGACAGTGGGACACGTTACCGACAGAACAATTATCCTTTTTAGGATACGATTAATGGGTGAAATTTCTGAAATACATCATTATATTTTCAGATTATTTGTGACCTCATTCCCAGATTTTTACTATTTTTATGGCGTTGGAACATAGATTGGCATATTTTTTTCATTTTTACCCATACGAACATTATTTCAAAGCCCATTATGTTCAACTGACATTAGGTGATATGAAGTGAAGGTTCATGAAGCGCTATTTTGGTAATTTCTCATCCAAATATAATAAAAATCGGAAAAAAAGGCTCTATCGACATGTCAAAGAATATGTTCCATTAAAAAAAGTCCTTTCCATAAAAACAAATGAATCTGTGGATACAAAAAACTACACGAAATAGAAGTTTAGGTCGTTTCGAACAACTTTTTTATTCAACATTTTTTCATATATCTCAAAGCAAAAGAGTTAAGAGGGGGTTCTATTTCGAGATGCGCACAATATACACATCTTGATGATAGTGCTCATATATTTGTATGTCAGCTACAGATTTTCTGTGTTTTCTCTTATCCAGCATGTGTGGCTAGAAATCTCGGGATGAACTTTAGGGCACTAACAATGAGGGCTAACATTTTCACTCTCACCAGTTGGCGCTACTAAAACGTGAGGTCAGTGTCAAGATGACAAAATATTGTCGGATAACCCTAAAGGCTATGGCCTGTTTTTTATCGAACATATTCGAAAAAAAAATTATGAAGAATATTTGAACAATTGGATATCGAAAGACGTGAGTGTAACAATGTTCAACTTTACGACCAATTCTTACATTGATGGAGAAGAAGATATCGTAGCAAGAGACCAAATGACACGAAAATAATAAGTTTATATACCAGTTCTACCAACCCTGACCTCAAGTTTCGGTAGCACGGTTTGATACTTTTAAAAATAATTAAAAGAAATGAATTTGTTTCAGAGGCGCAAACTAACAGATGAGATAAAAAAATTCAGATATAAATTTACCATACCACTATTCATCAAATAATAATTTTTTTCGTCGACCTCTACAAAAAATCACATTTTACGTTCTAATTTTCGAACGAAAAACCGAATATTTCCGAAGGCAAGTACTTTTCGTCCGCAGACACAAACTTTTCGTCCGCAAACATTTCGTCCGCTGCAGGGTTGCCGGTTCTACTGAAATTTCAGTAATCTCCTGATTTGCATATTGGCATACTGATCTACTAACATTTCATCATCTACTGAAGAATATTTTGACAAAGATAATTACCTATATTATTATTAATCTTTAGTTAATTGCATACACTTATAAATTGCATGATATTTCGGCACGCTCTGTTTGAATAAATTTTACAAAATAAGTAATAAATGTACATATAGGTACTAATGATATGTATAAACCAAAAAAGGACAATACTTTATCTGATTCAGATCAAATTCAATCATTCAAATACCTCTGTTATAACAGTTTGTTTCCTACGTTCAATCCCTTTATTTGTTTTTTATTTTTGTTGTTCATTTTTACTATTCGTTCCTATTTTTTCTATACTCAATTCTTATAAGTGCGTATGTAACTTTATTATTTTGGAATTTCTACAGCATAAAATAGATCTTAAACAGATCTATTGAAATCTACTGAATTTTTGACAAGGTATTTTCTGATGGAACAAAAATCGAACTGGCAACCCTGGTCCGCGCGGAGACTGAGTTGACAACAACTGTCATTTGTTGTTGTCAAATTAATTATTCTCGAAATCCGATAGATTTCAAGTGTGAATAGTAGGGTGATGTGAATATAAGTGTTTGAGGTCGACGAATAAATGTAATATGTACTTCGGCGACAAACTGTCTATTGTCTCGCCTGATTGCTAGCCTCGGCTATCAATTTGCAGATTCGACTATAATAGACAGTATTTCGTCCTTGTTACATAAATACCTATTTCTAGTTTAATTATTGAATGTTTACTTACTTGTAACCTTCCTAAAACATTTATTAATACACCACCATCAAACATTGGTTGTGAATCTACTTCTGTTATTATTCTATTGATTTTTTGAAATGTTAATGCCTGAAAATCAAAACATAAAAATTATTCTCCTGAATATACAGAGTGGGGCGTTGAAAACTAAACAGCGGCTCTGTAGGTCGGTCGACAGAACCGGATTATAAAATAAAGCTGGAACATGTCAACTACATTTTCGAGGGGGACATCGTTCTAAAATATGTTCAGCGCTGCAGCGTTGCCGGTTTTATCGAAAAATAGCAACAACTTTGTTATTTAAAATGGAGTACTCTATATTTCATTGCATTTTCAGATTACCCCTGAAGAGCTGATTTCATCAATACATCAAACTTGGGGTATAGCGAGAATCACGAGAAAACACTAACAAGTCAGCGGCGATTTAGCAATTTCACAATAGATAAACCCATTCAGGAGACGTAAATCTCGAATAAGTTGCGGAATGTTACACCTGCGGCGTTGCCAAGTGCTTTGTCTGATGGAAAGTGATAACAACGAATTAATGAACATCTTTAATTCGATAAGACTAAAATTCATTGAATAGGAATGATGAGAAAAAATAATTATGCTTTAGTACAGTATAATCATTGTTTCGTTTTAAATCATTCGATCAATTGCAAAACTTTATGACCTATTTACGAAATCGTACAGTCTGGAAAATATGCAATTGAAGTAAAAGAGATGAAAAAGGAGGATCGAACGATGATTGATTGGGCAGAAACGTAAATAATGAGGTATGTGATTAAATGGCATGTGAGTAGAGCTCGTCATATTCAGAAAATTGCTCCTCCCACCTCTCATATTGCTCATTGTCCGTGCATAGTTAGCATTGATATTTTGGGACCTTATACTCCATCCCATAACAATCATCAAAATATTATAGTTTTTTCAGATTTATTTTCAGAATGGGAGGAATTAAAATGTACCAATAAACTTCATTCACCCGACTTTGTTATTGCAGGGTTTTGATCTCTGACAATGGACATCAATTCCAATCACATAGCTGGAGTAGATTTTGTAGTAAAAATCATATAACTCATCTATCAACGGTAATCTATCATCAGAGATCAAATCCTGTAGAATGTCGGAATCAAGAAATCAAGAAATTGTCACGAGTTCATCTGATGAATCGCGATCTCCAAGATTGGGAAAACTTGCTGCCTCGTGCTCTCTTTGCTTTACGTTCCAGGCTTCAATCTGCCACTACCTGAGGAGCGGGAGAATCCCAGACAGTATCAGTTATGGGAAGACAAAGAGAATTTGAGGGCAAACCGCATAGATGATATCCGAAGACGACAGGAGGTGGAATAAGGTTTTACTACAAGAGTTTCGTCCATCGAAAGATAATCCATTTCAACAAAAATGGATGGAACCTTGTGAAGTTCTACAAGTCCACTGAAACTCCATCCATACCATCGAACGAGACTTTTTACAAGTCAATGTTCATGTATGAACCAGAAGAGGATGAAAGACACTTGAAAAATGACACTGAATATTATGTAGATGAGTAAGCTTTTATGCAAATGTTGACTATCATTGACACAATCCTAAACGACGAAATCGCCGAAAGTGAAAGACCAGGTGAAATTGTCTTTATCTGCTATCAAGGATACATAAGCATTTTTGAAATATTCAATTTCGGACTGTAGTTCTTTCACCAGTATTTTTAATACTGGTATTTGTAATAAACCATTCTCAGTCATGGCAAAAAAAATTGAACTTCCTTCCTCCAGCGAGTTGCAGGCATCTCACCTCTGTTGAAGTTACATTTGCAAATGCCACATGAAGTAGTCTTGCAACCATCACACCTGAATGAATCTTTATCATCAACTGCATCCTTTAAACACCGTAAGCATTTGCTCATGGTAACAAAGAAGAACAATTTATAGATTCCCCGTATGTAAATATGAATTGTTGAGCAAGAAAATCGACGTTTCTTAGTTGCGGGATCCTAAATACACTAGATTGCTATTTTGTCTGATGTCTTGGACATTAAACCAAATTCCGAATTGTTCTCATTAATAGCTTCACAGTATTGAAAATTTTTGAAACTATTTTTTGAGAGAAATCCTCGTTTCTTGGGCTTCAAGCAGATATGACTTTGCCGAATTTATTATTGTATTGACTCTTCTTCCAGTTCAAATACTTGGAAGATTTTGAACTAAAAGGAGAGTGAATACAATAACACTAACCTTGAAACCTTGCATCTCAGTGCAGGCATGTTCTGATTATTTCTGTAAGTTTAGAACGGCACTTGTGTCCCCCATGAAAATGAAATTTACCTGTCTTTTCGATTTTTCATTTTATTTAATGGAAGGAATATATTAAGGGTGGGAAGTTTTCTCATTAATAGCTCCAAATTATTGAAAATACTTGAAATTATTTTTTAATGAGAGAAATCCTCGTTTCTTAGGCTTCAAGTAGATATGACTTTGCCGAATTTATTATTGTATTGACTTTCCTTCCAGTTCAAATACTTGAAAGATTTCGAACTGAATGGAGAGTCAATACAATAATACTAACCTGAAAACCATGCATCTCAGTGCAGGTATGATCTGATTACTTCTGTAAGTTTAGAACGGCACTTGTGTCCCCCTTGAAAATGAAATTGACCTGTCTTTTCGATTTTTCATCATATTTACTGGAAGGAAGATATTGAGGCTGGGAATTTTTCTAATTGACACGGCATTTTTCGGAAACTGCTCAACAGAAAATGATAAACTATGGTACAATTGGAAAGAGAATCAAACGCCTTTCAGAATGATGTGCCACTTGACCCCCCTTCCCATTTGATCTTCAAGTTCTTTTCACCATTCAGTTGTCTTCATGTTTACTCATATTTTACTGGTTTGATATTTTTTAATCATCACTGAATTTAATTGATGTGCTCAGTAATTTCACCTTGGATTTCAATCGTTGTTTGAAAAAGAATACTACTTTGATAGGTCTATGTTTTGAGCCACCTGCATGACCTACTCTAAGTATCTTTTCCTCCTAGGGCTTCTTGAAAATAAAATCTACCTGAATTTTCGATTTTTCATATTATTTACTGGATGGAATATCAAAATGTCTCTCTGTATGTAAAAGGGTAAGCAAATAAAAATTTGTTCTGAAGAAATGGTCAACTAGCTTTCTTGAGAAGTAATAGCTTAAAAATATAACACAAGCTGTCATTTTTCCATTTTCATGTCCTATTTGAATCGTTCAAAGTTCTTTGTGATATACCAGGTGGTTCAAAAATTAGTAGGTGGGGGACTTTAGACGGACACTGTACAAAAACGGCAAAACATAAGTGTCAACCCTTTAAGGCTGAAGTGTCATAACTAATAAATGACATTTATGAAAAAATCAGATCCTATAGCAATAAAAATGTAGGTTTATTTTCGCTTATTATACTCCATTGAAACTCATTTCAGAAGGCCATTGACCTAGCTCTTTTAAACAAATTTTACACAGTGTGGAACTGAGTGGATATCTTGGTAACAGCTTGTTAGAGTTTTTTCAATTGTTGTACATGGTAGACTCGAAAATGTTATCATCAATGTTGCCACGTTTTCGAGTTTTCTGAAATTCTTTTTAATTTTATTATTCCACATGACATCTAGGTATATGAGATTTGAAAGAGAGATATATCATTTACTTGAAATATTATGATTACTGACCTATTGAATATTTGTTTCTGTTCAGATGATATTCATAACTATTCAATTCATCATAGCCGGGAAGAGATGCAATGCACTCTCATTCAAAAATGAAAGACAAGATATATGGATATAATTGTTATCAAGGCAAAAAACATATTCATGTCCTTGTTTGGTAAAACATATACAGTGTGTCCAGCTTTTCATAAATACACCCTGATATATCAGTTAATAATGGTGTGATAAGGAAGTAATTGGCATATTGAACAGTTTCATTCACCATTGGCGTGCGATGTTGAGGGGTATAAAAAAGGTCTATATTTGGAAAAGGATATTAGGGACTCATTTTAAATAACTTTTTCATCAGATTCTCAATCAGCATCCCCAAAACCCTCCAATTCATATTTTCAAAATCCCAAGAGATAAAATAAAATATTTTGAAATCCTGCTTTTCATGACAACACCCTTAAATCTCAGTTATCAAGGATACGATTTTTTTTAAATTTTGATGGTGATTGTATGTTGGAAAAATAACATACAATCACCATCACAGTCTCGAGAAAATCAAATCATTAACATGTTGACCGCCATGAGCATCCCAAGGGACCGTCAGCTCATGGTTCACTCAGACCACTTAGGGCCACAGGGACCTACACTATGTTACCATTTGTTATATTAATTTTGGACCGTTGGGACTCTTTGATAAAGTGTTTGATGGTATGGGTGGACCGTCACGGTCTCTTAGGTAATAATTTCTACACGGACAAGGACATTTTTGTTTACATGTGAATGTGGTCCCTAGGTTTGAAAAACACTGTGGAAATATAAATAAATATTTTCTTTATTAAATTTTCAGTAATAAAAAGAAGAGAATTGAACTATTGAATGGAATGAAAGTATAAAGATAAATTCACATTTATATGTCAAAAAACAGTTTTTAGTGTAATAGATTGGAAAAATCTAGGCAAAGTGCTGGCTTTCCCTTGCAATCATCACAATACATGGTGATTTTTTTGGTGCTATTCTGGGCAATTTTTCGTCCATCTTTTGCAGCAATCATCTTATAGCAATTCGTACAGAACCGCCTTACTGAATGGCTGGATCCTGTTTTTATGGTGAAAACGGCCGTGTACTTCATTGAACAGGGACCAACGGTCAAGTAACAGCATTTCATAGTATGGTGGACTGCATAGGTCCTATGGGACCTACACCTCATGAGCTTACATATTTTTGTTTTGAAGAATATCACAAAATGGTTCACACACCACTTATATATGCTCAATATCTATCAAAAAATCATTTTGGCCCATGATGACTTTTTTTAAAATTTGGCATGGTGCTGTTAATAACTGAGATCTTCGGGCAGTCATGAAAAGCAGGATTTTGAATTTTTCTTGTGATTTTGAAAATATGAATTAGGGGGTTCTTGGGGATGCTGATTCTGAATCTGATAAAAAAAGTTATTTAAAATCAGCCCTAATATCCTTTTTCCACATAATGGCCCTCAACATTGCATGCCAATGGTGAATGAAACTGTTCACTCTGCTGAATACTTCATTGTTCTAACATACAAAACCACTAAAATTTCAAGAGAATAGCATCATTAATAACCATGAAATCAGGGTGTATTCATGAAAGGCTAGACTCACTGTATATAATCTGCTTCAAATTCATTTGTGGAGTGTCTGTTCTATTAAATATTCAAAACATGGAAATGAAAGTGTCAACTACCATACATCCAGTACTGACTAATCACTCTAGTTTCATTTTAATGTTACTATAGTGCTAATGGAAACAAAATCAGAGACCTGGACAGTTGTTTGATACCAAGCAAGGATTTGAACAGAGAAGGTCCTACCTATCAGTGGCAGGTCTGACAACAGTTCTCCTAGATGTTCTGATCATTTTCTAACCATTGATTTGAATGAGACCTAGCTCTAGCTATGACAGCCTAAGGTGTTTGAATGGTCCGACCTGCCACTGAACAGAGGCTAGGGCTCCAAGACCACAGCCATAGAACATGCTGCATTTTTGATCAATCAAATAAACTTACATTCAACTTCTCCATAATCTTTACTGAACCTTGTAGCTGGACTCCTTCGAATGTCATGAAAGATAATTCGACCTAAAAAAACTATACTTTATCAAATATTAAAATAAACATTGCAGTGTACTCACATTATACATATTTACCAAATTAGACCTTTGGGTTGGATCATCGAATAGCGCATAATATTGTTGTACAAAACTTTTTCCTATGGCTTCGTATTGCAAATTCAGAGCCATTATTCACCTATATTCACTACTATTCACTTTTCTTTCCTAAAGTAAAAATAACAAAAATTCAAAATTATTTCAACATCAAAACAGCCTAAAAACGGCTAATCGTTCCCAATCCGCATTCGGCGTATTCCAAAATCGGACATCGTTGGGACAAATGTCATAATGTCAATGTCTTTACTGTCAGTGTCAAAGTCATGAGATTGAGAGAAGTGTCTCAATAGCCGCATTGCCGGCAAATCGAAGATTGAGCTTGAGCCTAGTCGATGAATGAACTGTGTCGATAGATTTGCATTGGCACCCGCCACCATGAAAAAAACAATGCACTGAATTCAATGACAATAATAATAATAATGAATGTTCTTTATTGGTTAATCGACCGAGGTCCTTCAGCCAGTAACAATGTACAAATATAATTTTTATAATATCAATTCAAATTTTTAGGTTATGGAAGAAAGTTAATCTTTATGAAAAAAAAAAGATGTAAAAGTGGTCTATTCAGTAACTTATCAATAGAATACGATATCATTTTTCATTACGTTAACGATACATAACATGATTTTTTTTCATCACCTTTTTGCTAAAAAGTTATCGACGCCCTTCAACTTTGGGTACACCCATTCCTACCGCGCTTGGGTTTACCAACTCCATCGTTGGTAAATGTGGTTAATGTTATGATGTTAATGTTAAACATGATTGAAGATTTGTTTATGAAGTGACAGGTGGAAAATGGGTGGAAAATACGTGGAAACACTCAATTTACAAATAGAGCGGATATGTCGAAGTACGAGATACACGGGCAACCGACAAAGGTTACGAAATGGTATAGGGTAGTGATAGGAAGTAAAGCTTTATTATTTAGGTAATTTTTTGTTTCCAGATGACAAGCTACTCAAACAATATGTTTTGGATCTATTCTTGTCCAACGTTGTCTCCTCTCCTCATTCGAAACATGCGATAGAAATCTGATTCTAGTGGTGGGCACTTTGTAGACGCAAATTCATTACTGTTTGGGTGGGAGATACCGTTCAGATTTTTAGCTGTTGACGTCATGACCTGTATGATCTAAGGACTTGACCTCGACTGGAATGACATTCCGGAAACGGCAGCCATTTGTCAATTGTCACTCTCATCTCATCTGTCAAATGTGCAGTGATTATTCCATGTTATGAATTTAAAAAAATTATGATTTGAAATCAACTGAAAATGGATAATCCTGGTGCAAGTTTATTTCAGGGAACTGATATCAAACTGAATAATTCTCAAAATGAGGAAGAGGAAGATCTAGAAGAGCAAAGAAGAAGAAATGAAGAAGTAAACCATTTTTTGAAAATGTTTTCCAGCTTTTTAATTTTTCTCAATTCAAGATTCAGAATTTATTAATGACTAAATTGGATGACTTCAATTATGACGAGAGCACTATCAATTCATCAACTAATAATTCAGTAGTTTCTGTTGATGAAATTCAGAACAACTATCATAAAGCTATCAATCCCAATGAGCAACTTAAAGTTCTCTATGATGTGAGACTGAGAGAATTGAATAGTATGAAGATTGAATATGAAAATAACAAAGCAGAGTTGATCTCCAAAATAGATTCTTTGAATAAAAAGGTTATAATTTATGAAGGAGAGCTGCATCAAACAAAAATATCCCTGAAAAATGCAGAAGAACTTTTGGGTGAGTTTAATTCCATCAAAAATTACTATTTCGCAAGCTTACATTTTTATATTGTAGTGGAAAAAAGTAGTGCAATTACAGACCTGGCAATTACTCTCAGTGCCAGGGAGGAACAAATCAAGAACTATGAAAAAGCCATGGAAGAAGTAAGGCAAAGCTATAACTATTAACTCATCACTTATCTGAGTTTATTTCAGTATCATTTAGAAATCAATACATACCAATCAACAATAAATGATTTGCAAATGAAATTACAAGATAACATCAATCCATTTAATATTGGCAATCAGAAATTCAGTTCTGAAGAATTACAAAAAGCACATGGTGAAAATATTGCCAAGTTAGAAGCACATTTAGAACAGCAAACTATGATTGCAAAACTCCATGTAGGTTCATTTACATTACATATTATCTCTTTCTAATTCAATCTTTCAGGAAAAGGAGAAACATAGAGCCCAAGAAGAACTACAAAAGTATATAGAATCTGAAATTGAAAATAAAAACACTATAAATGCTTTATCTAAAAGTTTTGACAGTGCACAAAAACAATGCCAAGAACTCATAAATGTGGTAGAGAAATTAACAAATGAAAATACACATTTACATGGTGAGCATTGCATGGAAGTTCATATGTTTTATGTTTACAAATTGTGATCATCTTTTGGTTATATCTGTCATTACCATTATTTATATATTTTTGTTTAGTCATAAGACTATTTCATAGGAAAGCGTCTAGGGGTCACAAATTTAAAATAAATTTATTTTTTTTCAATATATTGGAAAAAAATGCAATATGTTGGAAAAAAAATCCAATATATTGAAAAAAAATCCAATATATTGAAAAAAAAATCCAATATATTGAAAAAAAATTCAATATATTGAAAAAAAATCCAATATATTGAAAAAAAAATCCAACATATCGAAAAATAAATTCAATATGTTGAAAAAAAAATCCAATATATTGAAAATTTAATCCCAATGGCCAGGAAAGTTCCACGACTATAGAACCCCGCTGACTGTCGAAGTGTGCAAATCTTCCAGGGACAACTCTGTCAGAGACAACACAAAGCAAGGACTGAAAGACTCGAGTAGGGAATTACATAGTGACTTAAAAAATTCAACTACTTTCTACTACCAAATACTATTTTAGAGGCGGGTAAGATAGGAAAATGATGATGAAAAACTACTTCAATCTTTGTGCTTTTTCTCTCCATATCCACTACGATTTATTGCCATGTTATGTATAATATCTGAGATGTAACAATATTTTTGCAAGAGGTGTGGATTTTCATAATTCTAGCAGATTATATTATCGAAAAATATATGTATAAAAAAGTAACTGTATTCTGCGTCACTACAAGTCCATTCTGTAAACATCTCTGGTCCAATCCAATGATATCGATATCCGCATAATTGACCAGACATCTTCAACTGAGCTTGGATGAAATCGCTCACAGTGGATAATGGGGAATAATTCCTTTTTCTATTCAATTTCATACTTCTCAGTTTACGTTTGAGTGTTGATAAACTCATTACCATATTATGTCTCAAATACAGAACGGCTAGTATTTCTTCATAATGCATGCCACTCAGAAAATAATCCTTTATTATAAAATCAGTATGATTTCTTGAAACATTTAGTAAATCTCCATCATTGACCATTTCCGTATTGAGTCATGGTAATAATATAATCAGTCGAAGTGAGCAGAGCACTACTTATGTACTCTAGCACAACAAGCAGCTTGGAATATTCATCACTCACTACTCACTTTTCCTGGATTTGAATAATGAAGAAATATCCAATATATTGGATTTTTTTTTCAATATATTGGATTTTTTTTTTTTTCAATATATTGGATTTTTTTTTTCAATAGTTTAGATTTTTTTTTCAATATATTGAATTTTTTTTTCAATATATTCGATTTTTTTTTAATATATTAGATTTTTTCTCCAATATATTGAAAAAAAATATTTTAATCCTGTGACCCCTAGACGCTTTCGTAATTTCACATTTTGTTCAGAATTCAATAACAAACAAAACAACTAGGTAAATGAACCTAAAAAAGTAGTTTATGAAGTACAAAATTCACAAATAACAACAAATCCATCATTTCCACTCTTCACATTCACATTTTGCATACAAATCAAAATCAAAACTAGTAACAGATATATGCTACTAAATAGAGGCTTCTAAATAAACTTATTCAACTCCATAAAGCTATAGTTGAACCACTCTGGATTTTTAAATTCAAATATATAGGCAAAAAACATGGGCTCTGGTAGCTTAATGAATTTTCTGCACTTTTTTATAGTTTATAAGCCAAGTTCAACCATTGTGTTTGTGAAAATTTTTGGAAAAAAAGATTAACAGAAAAATGTATGATGGGTACAACCAAGAGCCTCAAAATTGCCTTGATTTATGATATAATCAATATCCTTATATTCCCTTCATTATATATTTTTTTCTGCTAGCTTAACCAGAGGCTTTACCATCAAGCTAGCCTCATGATTTAAAAAAAAACAATGTACAAAAAATTCGTTGGTGTGCTTATCTTTTTTTTAATAGCCAGTGGTTTGTCATCTTCATGTTGAATTTTTGAACATGTTTGCACAGTTCAAATTATGTTATACTTAAATTATTAAGGTATACTTAATATCTTTATATTCCTTAAATCTATTATATTATATCTATTTGGCTGATGATGGGCATATGCCTATGATGGATCTTTGATCATTAAAATTGTGGAGATGACTTTGGGTTTTCATGTATGGGATATATTTTATGGGTGTTAGTCTCCTACAGTTCAGAATTATTCACATGACTCATTTTGTAGTATCTTTTGACTGCCCAAATCATTTTGCAGCATAAAAGGGATAAATTAGAAACAGTAGTGGGCCCAGAACACTTTTCTATTAGTGGAACACCTTGATTACATTCTATCATTTCTATCTCACTTGATAATTCATCTTGATCTCTTTTGTCAGTTTGTTGAACAATTTTTAACCCTTTCAAATATATTTATCCAATTTCTAGGGCTTCTATTTTTTTTATTGATAATCAATCCCAGTATGTCTGATCTCAAAAACTCTTTGAACATCTTGAAATCCAAGAATATGGCTCAACTTTTCAAAATTGATTTTTCAGTTATATGTACTTGGTGTACCACTAAGATAAGAAAGGACGCCGGCTGTATCTCGGAAACTATTTGCCACACAGGTTTTGGAAAAAAATATTTATGATAAAAGTGGTCAAGAAAAATCTCTGGAAGTTATTTTCAAGTATCCAGGACAGTGGCTAGAGGGCATAATTGCATTGGCCGACTTAA